GGGTGGAGGGAGGGGGAGGGCAGCGGTACTATGTGTAAAAAACTATAATGATCCACTTACAAGCCAAAACTACATGTGTCCCAACAACTTCTGAAAGTGATTGTAGATACCAATTTCTGAAGCTAAGACCAAATCCAGGAGAATCAACGAGCAGTTATGCAGCGAGACTTCGAGAAAAAGCGACCGATTGCGAATTCGGTGACACACACGACGACAGGATCTTGGAGCATTCCGACAATTGAGAACAAGACATTAATACACAAATCCATCAACAAAGGCTGGGATTTAACGCAATTCCTCATCGAAGCAGCCCAAATGGAAAATATAAAACGACAAGTTTCCGATATAACATCCCCGGAAGTGGAAGTGAAAGCTAGAGTTAATCGAGAGGCACAGACGCCCAAACCGAGACAGAGGGACATTGCCAGAAATGGAGGACATCAAGCGGTCAGGCGTGCGGGATCATGTTTTCTTGATAATTCAGTGCACTATACAGATCAGTGGTTCAGTTTGGCAAATACAAAATGGCTGTTTATTTTTAGTGATTTTTACTAGTATAGCTAAGTGAGTTTTACCGAGAACTATTTAAATAATCTGAGCACGGCAGATTTATAAATTGAAAATGCGAAGAGATATGCTAATGAATGGCTTTCAACACATAATTTCCATTGCAAACAAGTATGCATATGACCCAAATTTAGGTATCCTGCCTATTCGCGGGCGGGATGATTGACAGTACCGGGGGGAGGGGAAAAGGACACGAGAACATGGGAGCGAATACAAACAACAAACGTTTGAGACGAGAGAGTTCAGTCGAAAATTGGTATTTTATTTTACTTTGTTCTTATTTATTATATCATTTTTGTGGGTAGCCGCGCATGCGCAGCTAACCACTATGTGAGAGACTGAAGCGCGATCTTCCGTGGCTCTGTGCCTCTGTGGCTCTGTAGCCTTCGTGTCCGCGGTGTCCTGCTGCGCGGTTCCTTTTATCCTTGAAATACGAACCGTCTATAGACCACAGGCTAAGTTCACTAACGCTCATACCGTACAGAGATGTGTATAAATTCTTAGTAAAGTCTTTATTGTAATATGTTTTGTCAGGTCGATAGTAATTTCCAACGCATATAGAATCGAATATGTCGTTGTTTTTATAATCACTGCTTCAAACATTCCAACCGTCCCGGTTTACCCGGGACTGTCCCGGTTTGGACTATGTTGTCCCGGTGTCCCGGTTTTCTTCTTATTGTCCCGGTTTCTGTAGTATTTTAATAGTTGTATTCTTCAAATAAGGCTCATGTGACAAATATTAATGAAATTCGTTTGGTTCCGAATACATATTAATGAAATGGGAGCTTCTAGTTGCCCCAAACAATTGCCGAGTTTGTCGCCGATCGTTGTAATTCTCGTGACATATCAGAGACTGAGAGTGACATATGTTGTTTTGACAATTTTATAGCGTTCGCTTTCAATTCCTATTCATTTTGCCAGGGCTACATGAAGTAAAGCAGCGTAACAGAAGCGGGCGCAATAATCGCGGGCTCTTGAATGCGAAAGGATCAGTGACTGATGATAGCCAGTAGTAAAACGAAACAATTTCGCCAGTACAGTACTTCAATGAAATTAAAGCTTGTTGAGAAGATGTTATATTACTTATGGGTTTCAACTCAGCCAATTTCAACACTAACCCAAATAGACACCACATCATTGAGAAAAGCGCGGCAGTTCAGTCCTGCCAAGGTTCCCGCATTTCGCGTGAAAGTTACGCATTCTGCTTTTGTTCCCGCTGTCCCGCACGCATGACTAAAATGATCTTAAAGTTACGCATTTTTACCATTATATGACGCTATCCCACTTTTCGTGCAATAACTCATTGACAACGCTGTGTGCAAACGTAGAATTACTGAGAGTTAACAATTGACCAACCAAATAAAGACGTTCAGATGCATCGTGGCCTGGGGGTACATGGCCAAATACGCTTTCGGACGATCTGGAGACTCCAAATTTCCAAAATTCTCTCAATTTTCCTAGTCACATTAAACTGTAAGTAACACTGTCATATTGACCAGTAGTTATTTTACTTATCTTCATTGTTAGGCAGTAGTAAAACATTGAAATCTTGGGTAGGAAAGACTCTAAAAATGCTATTTCCGACGGTCTAGAGAATTCAAATTTTCAAAATTTTTTGCTCGGCGCCAACCATGATAGCGCCTCGCGGGCGTCGCAAAATCAGGTGAATTGAAACAATTCAGGCGGTAAATCTATCCTCCCCCCTCCCCCCAAAGGCAAAGTCATCGCAACGGCCCTGGTCACGCATTCTTATCTTCCGAACTTGGCAGGTCTGCGGCATTTATTCGAGGGAGGCATATATTCGAGGGAGGCGTTTATTTAAGTAAAATGAGAAAATTGGGAAGTGTCCCGGTTTTGAGGAATCGTAGGTTGGAATGTCTGCTGCTTGTACAAGGGTCATTGGGGTTAATATTAGCGCACGGGGTCTGTTTTATATCGTGTAATGTCATATTTAAACACGACATATCAGTTTGATCAAACATTTTATACGTATTAGAAAAATATAGTAATTAATGATATAGCGCGCGACGATTGGACATATTTACGTTAGTCTATATCGAAGGAATGTTGACGAATGACGAACATATAGGTATATAGAATCGAGTATGTCGTTGCTTAATAAAGTATATGTTGATCTTTTTCAAACTCCGCCGGAAACATCGTCCTTAGATCTTTGCATGGACTATCCTTGAAACTCAAAACTTCACGAAAGTTGTATATATACGCAGCCTGTAAACCTGATGCTTTGTCTTTGATGTATGCTGTCCTTGAACAAGAACTGTTCTTGTCTTATAAGTGTTTTTCGTACTGTCTGTATTTCGGCGTGTGATGTATTTTGTTTCGTATACATATTAAAGACCTTGTACTGTTCTGTCTGTTCAGTGTGCAAATTATTTTTGACACATTAAAATACTTTGTAACTTCTTAAATCTGTTTATGCTTATTGAAAAATGCACGTAACAGTCGTTTACGTATTTTTGTCATATCTGATGTTCAGTATGTGATTAAATGTGTGTATAATATTTGAATTGTGTTCAATTTAGAACTGAGAGAGACACGAACGTGAACGAAAATTATGGGAACAAAAACTGCAAGCCGAGTTGGAAATTACTGAAAAACGTATGGAGCTAGAAAGGGAAGCAAAGTCTACTAGTGCCAAATTGCCAAAATTGAAGATAACCCCTTTCAAGGGAACTGTTGTAGATTGGATTCGTTTCGAGAATATTTTCTTGACCCAAATTGACAAGAAACCTATTTCGAACGAAGAGAAATTCGGCTATTTGCTCGAACTGGTGAACCCCAAGGTCAGAGACCGGTTGGCAAATCTTAAACCAAGTACCGAGGGATATGAAACAGCGTGGAAAAGGCTCAAAGCAGAATACGGACAGACCAAACAAGTTGTAAATGCACATATGGAGGAAATTATTGGGTTACCTGTAGTCAAAGGTTCTAACTATACGAAAATCCAAGAATTCTACGAAAGGTTGAGTGAGAGTTTCGACGCTCTGCATACTTTGGGAGAGGATGGGCCTCTCAAAGCTTTTGTGATGACGACATTGAACAAACTTCCACATATTAAACCAGACCTGGTACGAACTGACGACAAATGGGAGGACTGGAGCTTGAAGGATTTACTGGATAACCTGCAGAAGTGGTTACTTAGAAATAAAACGACGAACGATTCGAAGCATAGCGAAGATTCATCGAGAAGAGAACGGAACTGGTTTGCTGGAAAGGCGAGTGGAGGAAAACCGAAGAGCCCCAAATGTGTCTTTTGCAAAGGTGAGCATTACTCGAACAGTTGTGAAGATATTAAGGATTTAGATAGTTGCCGGAAGTTCTTTACGAACAATAAACTGTGCTATAATTGTGATCAATCTGGCCATCGAGCGAATAATTGCCATGGGGGGAGTTGTTTCAAATGCAAAGGGAAACACCATACAAGTCTGTGTGACGGGAAGAAAGGTCCCATCCTAACTGGGTATACCCCCTCAGATACCACATTACCACCCATAATTCCTGTGAACATACAAGGCGTGACATTGTGGGCATATCTAGACACAGGGTCATGGAGAAACTTTATCTCTCAAGATGCCATAGCAAAACTGAAATTATTTCCTGTACACCACGAAACTCGTCATATTGTCACTGTGAGTGGGTCGAAACAACAGTCCATGCCCATTTTCAATGTTGAAATGGCCTCACTTGATGGAACCGCCAAAGAGAGAATTGAGATTACTGGGACCAAAATGCCTAACTTTACTACCATTAAGCGACCAGACATGAACGAGCTGAAGCGGGAGTTTGAGCATACTAGGGACAAACGGTTCTACATGCAGCCGGATCACAAATACCCAATACATCTTATAGTTGGGGATAACACGTTTTCTCGAATGAAAACCGAGGAGATCTACAAAGGGAAACCAGGAGAGCCAGTGGTCGAAGGAACAACATTTGGTTGGATAATACATGGCGGGGACCTTGTTAACGATGAGTGCATGTATTGCAGAGATGTGAGCGACTACCAGATGTTGTATAGTCTTGATGTGCTTGGTGTAGAAGACCGGGGAGAAGACGATCAATTGGATGTTTACACCGAATTCAACGAGACCATTGTTCGAGACAAGGAAGGACGGTACCAAGTCAACGTTCCGTGGATACCTGGTGCTCAACTTACAGAGACAAATGAGATACAGAGCAAGAAACGCCTGCGTTCGGTCACAAAGAAACTCAATCAAGACCTCAGTTTGAAAACAGAATACCGGAACATCGTAGCCCAACAGCTTGAGAAAGGAATCATCGAGAGGGTCCCAGGGGAACCGACCGGAAGTCGTGTGTTTTATATGCCACATAAACCAGTGGTAAAATCTTCTGCCACAACCACAAAGGTCCGAATGGTGTTTGATGCCAGCGCGAAGCCAAACCCACTCGCCCGAAGTGTTAATGAGTGCATGTATAAGGGCCCTCCACTACAGCCATTGCTGTGGGACATATTGATAAGAGCTCGAATGGCTCCGAATTTGTTAATTGGTGACATTCAACAGGCATTCCTTCAAGTCGGATTGAAACCAGAGGACAGAGATGCCTTTCGATTTGTATTTGAATCGATAGACGGAACGGAAGAGCAATTCAGATTTACCAGAATACCCTTTGGCGCAGAAGCGAGCCCCTTTCTTCTCGGAGCC